ATTGTGTCTGTCACATCACATTTTAAATTTGGAGCCACTATACTCACCACCCACCATAATGGGAGAAATACATTTGTCCTTATATTTCATTATGGCTCTAACACATCTGAGCCTTTGTGATATGGTCTTTAATGTCCTTCTCTTCTTTGCCTGACAAATTCTGAATCATCCTTTGAGCCCAGATGAGAAGGTATTTTATCCAATAAGAATTTTTTGAGTTTGGACAATGGCTTTGGCCTCCCACTGTGGCATTCAAGGACAGCTCCCCCTCCCAGGATTTAGTGGGTGATGACTGTGCTACCTGGTGCACACTGGCTTAGCGAGAGCACTGCAGAGTGTAGTGGAAGCACACAGCAGGGCAAAGCATCTGGGCTGGAAGGATGAGGGCATGGCGCTGTGAGAACTGAGGAGCAGCAGGAGTTCACTAGGTGAAAGCAGAGAAGGAAGGACTGTTATAGACCAAGAAACTATCTTGCATAAAGTCTCTGTAGCCCTTGCTGTGTGGCCGACATGACTGAAACACTGTGCAAGGCAAACGAACATTGTGGCAAGAGGAGGCCTAACCAGAAGCAAGAGCACATCACACAGGATTGGTAACGCAGGGTTACATTTTGGATTTTAGTCCCTGTGCAGCAGGACGCCATCAAAAGATATTAAACAGGCTCATGACATGATCTGGTCTATAATGTAAAAGAATAGGTTTGTATTAATGTAAGTGACACATCAAGATAGAAAACTGGATTGGGATGTTGGTAGTGGGAAGGTGAATGAGGGAGTAAAATACAGCATTTAAATTGTTTCCAAGATGTGCTGGCTGCTGCGGTGAGAGAAGGTAGTCTAGAATATCTCCTAGAGTTTTGGCCCAAGCATCTGGGTGAGTGATGTTCTACTGGCTGATAAGGGAGAAATCGAGGAAGAAATGTGGCAGTTGAGGAATCCGGAGGTTTGTTTTGAACCTGTCGAAAGAAATGATTAGAAAGAACTAGGCTAAAGGTGTTAATTTGGCAGTCAAGAGCACAGAAGAGGTGTGGCGGTTTTCCTGTGCGCCTGTAATGTCTTTGGGACTCTGCACTGGCCTTCGATATATTGCATGAGTTCCCAGGCTAAGACAATAAGAACCATGCTCCTTCCACCTTTCTCTTGGATGACTTGTTTTTGAGAGGTCCCTTCTACAGATAATTACCTTTCAGAACTCAGATACCATGTTGTGGGAAGCCTCAAGGGAAGGTCATGCATAGATGCTCGTCAACAGGCTCCATGCACTTGGCCTTCAACCCTCACAGTCCATCTGCCGGACCTGTGAAGGCAGGTCCCCACCCCCCACTCAAGTATCTGGAACTTTCTTCATTTTCCAGATTTGAGACCTAACTTTTGCCCTTCCAATCACGACAGGAGCCAGGCCACTAATACACCTGCAGCTTGCTAGAGAATTCCCTGGCTATAAAGCAGGGAAGTGGACCCTTCACCCTTAGATGCTGCAGTCAAGGAAGTCATACTCCACTTGTTTGAGCCACGCGATGTGGAGTGGCAAACATCATGAAGCATGGATAAGCATCCCTGCTATGCCCTGGACACTTTCTTGATCTATGAGGCAATGTAAAAAGGGATGGTTTTACTTTGGGAGATTTATTACACAGTGAGTGATAACTGGAGTATGGAGTAGCCGAGGCCATCAGGGGAGAGGAGGAGATCACTGAAGGAAAGTGTGGAGAGGGAAATGAATGTGGGGAAAACAGTATAGGGAACCCCAGACTTTAAGGAGGGAAGGGGAGAAGTTGAATAGGAAAAAAATACAGCCATGAAAAATAGAAGTCTGGCAGAGGACAAAAAGCAGGCCTTTCTGGAGACTTTGGTGTCATGGAAACCAAAGACTTAAGTTTCAGGGATCAAGTACTCCTCAACAGTGTCAAATGCTGCTGACAGCTCAAGTAAGATAACCGAAAATGCCTTTAGGTTTTAGTCACAAGGGCAGTGTTGACTCAGCAAGAGCAGCTTCACCTGAGAGCAGATACCAACCTCACAATCCTTTGAGAACAGAGGAAGAACGAAGGCGGAGCTGGCCTTAGACTGAGGACAGGAGGTCACTCTTTCCCTGTGTTGGGAGAGAATGGAGAAATGGCAAGCACAGCCCCCAGGAGGTGTGTACATTTTGTGATCAGGAGTCTAAGGAGATCTCTTCTGAGGATTTTCCCCCCTGACCTGCACCTCTGAGGGGAAAAACAAAAGGAGAGGCGCATTTTGTTTCTACTCTGTGCAGTCAGCTTACCTGGGGACCTCTTGTCTGGCACCAGCTCCCCCTTAATTTCTTGAACTTAAGATTCAGCCATTCCCATGCTTGGACAGGAGCTGGGACACAAACAGTCCCTCATCACATCACACATGGGCTGCTCTGCCACGTGGAGCTCAGGGCAAGGACACGAGGCTGGGGCTGTGACAGAGGAGCTGGGGACAGGGAGATCACTGCCATACCTGTGAGGGTGATCCCTGTATTCCTAGGCTTAGCCTCCTCCTAGCTCTCGTGACTTGCTGTTGAGTCAAAAGCTTTTGAAGCTGCTGACCTATCTGAATTGTGCCACAGGGTGCCGAAGGAGAGGGGCTGTGCTCCTAGAAGGTACTGGTGTGGGGACAAGATCAGGATGGGGGCCAGGACGTGATACTTGGGGCTGGAGTATGCGAACGGAGATGCTCCCGCAAGAGATGCTCTGGTAACTTGGCTCTGATCGTATTCAGATTTCTCACACTGGGAAACTAAGTGTCAGCTGAGGGAATGGATTTGCCCAACATTACACAACTGTAATGGGATGGAGCCCTGGTGGAAACCCAGGTAACCGTTCTTCTCAGTGCTTTCCCCATGACATCGAATTGCTGAGATGGAGGTGTATGGGAGCCAAACAGGTCTAGGTTGCCCCTACCCTTTGCAGTCACATGGATGGACCGGGAGTCCATCAGGTTAAGTTAAAGCAAGCCAGGCAGGGAAAGCCAAGCGCTGCATGACCTCACTCATATGAAGAATCTAAAACCAAAGAAAACACTAATTCCAAACAAATGAACCAACTTCTAAAACTCAAACATGTAGACTTGAATTTAGTAATTATTTCACTACATATATGTTTACCAGAAGATCCTATTATATACCTAATGGAAACTGTCTAAAGGGGGAAAGAGGAGAGGAAAGGTAGGAGGCCCAAGAAGGCAGGGTTCCCATCAAGTAGGGGCACCAGTAGCCTCATTCCAGAAGATGGACCTGGGACTCATCAATGCTCTTAGACCTAAGGGAGCCCGTGAGGGCCGGGGATTTAGCTCAGTGGCACAGCGCCTGCCTGGCAAGCACAAGGTCGTGAGCTCGATTCCAGGTACGGGGAAAAACCAAAAAAACAAAAACATCAGAAACCAAAACTAAGGGAGCCCGTGTAATTAGAAGCTGTTGAAGCTGATGTGGAGGGATGAGTGCCTCCAATTCTTGGGCCCCTTTGACAGAATTTCCTACAACTGTGTCCTCCCTCTTCCAATCCCTTCCTACGCCTTCCGTGCCCTGCAGGACCACTTGCAAGGATTCAGAGTTCCAGGGTGCCTCTTTCAAGCCCAACTTGGGCAGCCCTCCCATGGGTCTCATGATACAGATGTGCCCGGGCAGGCCAGTGGGTGCTGCTGAGGTTTCAGAGAGGCCTGCCCCCAGTTTGCTAGCAAGAGGAACTAATAGATCGTTCAGGAATCCCCAGATTTAAAAGCCCATTAGAACGACCAATTATTTAATTAAGCTAAAGCTCTTCAAAGTGGCTGAAAACGTACATTTATTAGTCGTGGAATGCTCTCAGGGCTGCTTTAGAAGGCTGCTTGGTGTATCTGCTTGTTTCTGTGAGTGTCTCCATTGATCATGGTTTGGCTAGTCTCCTCTCGGGCACCACCCTTAAGCAAACCTCCTCCATGTAGTTGTGCTCTAAATTAGCATTTGCTTACTTAATAAATATGTATTGAGTGCCTACTATGTGCTAGAGTCTTCTATAGCCTCCAGACTGGTACCCTTAATGATCTACTAGGGACCTCTCTCGCATTCTCCCTCTCCTCCCCGTCCCTTTCCGCTCCCCGCTCCTCCCTTAGTATCATAATATATTACAGCCCTCAGGTACTGGTCCCAGCCTGGGTCAGGGTTTCAAACTGTAGGGGAGCTCAGCAACAGAACAGCTGGAACTTTCCCCTAAGACTAAGAGAATAGTTTCAGATGCAAATTGGTCTCAGAAAGGTCTTCAGGAAAGGCCAACACTTACATATTGCTGTCAGGCAGTCTTCAGAAGGGTGGGTGCCGCCTGGCATGTACCTTACTCAGCTGTTCTGCGATTGCGGCTGAGCTGATTGGAACTGTGGAATGTATTCCTGCAGTCATAGGACATCCATCAGATGGTCACAGGGCGGAATGTGAATTTTGGGTCAGATCGCCTGAGTCCTTTCTTTTATTTTGGACAAGACAATCTTTTTCAAATGCTCTCTTAAGGAGGTTTTCCCATCCCTTAGGAGCCAGGTAATTTCCTCAAGCAAAAGGCATGAGGTTGTTTCCCCAATTTCTCCTACCTTTGTGAGAAAGGGTTATCATCTACTCACTGACACGCTCAACCAAGCGGACACTTGCTCTCATTCTGCCTGAGAACTGTTGCCTAAGAGAACTGTTGCCTCAGGGAAATGGCAATCAGCGGAAAAGGGAACCTCTTAGAACTGCAATGAAAACACCTTTCTCTATTTCCTGGGAGTTGGTGAATTTAGGAGAGGAAGAAATGCAGCTGTTCATTCTCCTGCATACTCAGTAAGGAGATCCCTGAGTCAATCAAAGCTGTTTTTACAGGGTTCTGCTTTGAGTGGTTACAAGAGATCCCGTGCTCTGGGGAAACCTTTCTTCCAGGGTACTGTAACGGTGTTAAGGAATGGAAAGCAAGTGGGGGGGGGTGGTGATGTGGAACAGAGCAGGCCTGTGTTAGGCAGAGTGACCAATAAAAGTTCTCCAGCCCAAATACAATTCAGAAAGGGTTTAATAAACAGCCGCTAAACATTACACCAAAGCTTTTGGAAACACAATTAGTACAGAAAGGCAAAGGTCAGGCTTTCATTCTAAATTCTTTAAGACAGTCATTTACAACCCCACCCACCCACCCCCATCCCCACATATCCACAAGACTACACTCTTCTAGTCAAGAATTTACCTACAGACACAGTCTTAGGAAAAATGGGACTGGCATGCATTATCCCAGCAATGGCAAGGAAGCAGGGGGTCGGGGAAGGATGGATGAAAAGGCAACCAGCAGCTACTGATACACCCCTTCAGAGTTTGTTAAAGTGGATGGCCAGGGAGAATCTGCTTGTGGCTGCCCTCTGCAGCTCTGCCTCAGACTTCTAGGATTCTCTGGACCAGTGCATGTAATCAGAGCCAAAGAGGCTGGGGCTCTCATTCCCTTTAGCCATGACTCTTAGGAGTGTGGCATGGTCTAAAGGCCTCTTCAGTGCCCTCATGACCCAGAAGGCCCACTGAGATGGTGCTGATTCTGAGTCCAAACGGACCGGGCTTCTCAGTTTTTTTCCTTTTGGCCATTGAAAAGGGGTGCGTTATTGTTATTAAAGACAGGTGTAAGGGGCCTAGGCAAACTATTCAAACTTCTGCGACTCAGTTTATTTACCTTAGAACATTTTTGTATTTATGCCTGTCCCTCGTACTCACACCAAGATTAAGAACAAATGAAATCAAATGGCCTGTGCATAATACGGTATAAAACTGGCAATAAATTCAATGGTTTAGTAAACTCAAAAACTGACTAGAGAGATTTGTGTTACTCTCAGGTCACCCCTCTTAAACATCGCCATCGACAACACGGGACCAGAGGTCCCGAATGTGGTGGGAACAAAGTGCCTGGGCCTGGGCGAAGGATACGGGCGAATTGGACTTTTCACCTGCCAGTGATCCTTTGTTTTGAGCCAGACTTGAATCCTCAACTGCCACCCACCCTTCCTCTCCCACCAGTATTGGCCTAGTTGCCTTGGCAGGGAGGTGACTTTCTCATCTCTCGCAGCTCTTATGCCTGGTAGGCCCTGCTGCTGGCAGGCAGGGTGGCGCACAGGACTGCACGGCATGGCCCTGCCTGGCTCCCTGGTAAGCCAGAATCATCTGATCTGGACCAGTCAACAGTTCCCCTCAGTCTGGACTTCTCAAAGAGCCAAGGCTCCCAGGACAGGGAGCAGTCTCATGTTCTTCCTGCAGCGGGCAGAGTGTAATAAAGTACATGCAATGCCCTCAGCTGGGGGAGACTGGCAGGCTAAGGTGTGCAACTGGACAAATGGCAGTGTCTGGCTCTGATGTGAGTATATTATGCAGTGTGAGGGGGACAAGTCATTTTTCTGTTGCTATTCTTTCACTGAGATTCATAAATATGAATTGAGAGTCACAGCTTGAAAGAGGGCTGAAAAGAAGAATCCTGAAACATGTGAAGGGGAGCCCCGGGGCTGGCTGCCTGGATGCTTCAGGGGGTATACAGTGCTCTGGTTGCTGTGCCACCTTTACGACCTACTGTTTGCGGATCATGCCCTTGATGGCTGACTCCCGGTTCACATATGTGGCCCAATAGACCAGATTGAATATAGCAAAGAGCACGGGAAAGATGATGCGGGAGATTTTGTCAACCTTGCTGACACTGTTGTAGGTCTTGGTCTCAGTCGGGCTGTCCTGCACAAAGGTGGCCTTGGGTGAAGCGATGATGGTCGGAGTTGAGGACGCACTGGCAGCAGCGCCCTTGGAGATGGTGGAGAACTCAGTCTCCTTGGCCAGGTTGATGGGGTAGGTGGTCCCCACGATGTTGAAGGTGGTGCTCGTTTTCTTGGTCGGAGCCGCTGGCGTTTTCTTCTAGAGGTCATGAGAAAAGGGCACAAAGGGAGAACAGAAAAACAAAACCAGTGAATTCATTACCAGAGTACCTCCAGAGGCTGCAGGGAGAGGGAGCCACGAGGGAAGTTAAGCCACTAAGTAGGCAGGTGTGTGTTTATGGATAACAAAAGAAGGTGAGTTTGAAAACAGAAAGCTTGCATCATCCTGGTTTACTAGCTAGTCAGTTTTCCTCCTGGAGCTTCAGTTTCCTCACCTGTAAAAGGAAGATCAGAATAACTGGCAGGTTGTTGAGAAGATCACATGGGGGAACGGTGGAGCATTAGTCACATGGGGTCTTATTCATCATGTGACTTGATCCTCACAGAAGCCTTGTGACATCAGTGGCTGAGACTGCTCTCTCTTGGCATGAAAACACTCAGCCTTGGACTAAATGACAAAGCCCATACTAGCAATCCAGGCTCCTGACTTTCAGCCAGGGTTGTAGTGTGCTGCTTTCTATAGGTGGGAGACCCTGTTTGGTTACCTAAGAAAAAACTCCAAAAGGCTGTGACCATCAAGTAGTACATCTGCTATGAAGAAGAGAGCTTCGCCAGTCTGAAATGCCCTTTCATCATAAAGATACAATACTGTGGTATATTTACCTGCATCTCTACAAGCACGCCCCACCCTTCGTGTGGTGTAAATGTATTCAGCAAGCTTCGGGGTATTGCAAGGTTCCCCACTTTGCTAAGCTGCAGGCAGGAGCCACAGCCTCCCCACAGGATAAAAGAAATGATGCCCTCTGACACTGTGAAGGAAGAGAGCTGGGCATTTGCTATGGCATTGTCCTTGGGGCTTATTTCTCAGAGGAAAATATCTCAAACAAGCAGTGAGGAAGCAAACACGCGCAAGTGCCCCTTTGTTCCCTCACAGAAACGCTCACGTATACGTGGAGAAGAGATAAGAAGAGACAATACTTAGGTCTGAATCAGGGCAGCAAGGCAGCAGGACGGACCCCAGCCCAAGGCACTGGCCTAGCTCTGTGGCTACAGACTGGCTACCGCCTCACTCTTTCCTCTGGCCTTTTCTTCCCTCCATCCTTCTGCGGCTCCTGGGGGAAACGGGTGCACAGCAGCCTCTGAAATGCTCTCATTTCAGATACCCTGTGCTCCCTCTTCGTTACCTTGCCTCCCAGCACCTAAGCTTTCCTTCTTTGTCCCCACATTTCCTTCCTGGGTTTTATTCCCACCCTTCTTGCCCCTCTCGCCTAATCTCTGTCCTTTTCATCTTTACTTCCGAGTTTCCATCATTTTTATGTTTTCTCCGTTAGACCTCACGGTCATTTAGCCTTCCTGATCATAATCATAGCTTTGGTTCAACGTTCACAAAATGGCTACTGGATGCCGAGCTATGCCTGGCACTTAGGGTTAAGTGGAAAGGTTAAAAGAGAAGTCAGCATCTGTCCTCGTCTTCCAGGAACTCACAATTCGGTGTGTGCGAGCCTTGTGAATACATCATTGCCATTTGATGTGATGAAACTGCAAATGTTTCTGAGAGAATGCTAGGGGAATTCGGTAGAGGCAGGGAGAGAAAAATACTTTGAGGTGTTGGAAAAGGCTCCGAGCAGGTGCTGAGGTCTGCTTTACAGAGGCCGATCAGAAATTCATCAGATGAAGAGGCAGGAAGGCCAGGGTACGGGCCCACACAGGGGCTTGTGACCCGAGGCCGGGTCCCACCGTGCAGGGCAAAGAGATGCAGGGCCTCGGGTGTGCGGGCAGATGGCAGGTCTTGAGAGGCCTTGTCTGCCACGATCTCCAGCTCTCCTTTGTCTGTGACGGCTCTGCTGTGTTCCCTCAGATTCGTTTGACTAATAGCACATTCTAAGGCAATGTGGCTCTTTCCCTCTGAAGGCTGCAGTCACGTTGCTACAAGTGGAAGAGGAAAAGAACTCTAAGGCTGCTAAGAATCTTATAAATGCTTTAAATACTACATGAGACTTACTTATAATTACCAAAGTCGCTGTGTGAATAGAGTCCCACTGCTAAATGTGTTTGCTATTAAATAAAAGAGTGCTTTACTTATTTGCCTGCTTACTTATTAATTTGCTTAGTAATCTCCTTTTTTGTGAGTGGACCCCAAAAGAGAGGGGAAGAAGACAAAAGGAAAGGAAAAAACATAGGGACTGCTCTTTGTTAGAGGAGTTTGAGTGTTATTTCATTTAGTAATCTTATAATCCAGTTACGGTCAATCTCCTAGACAATCATTTGAAACAACAAACTCTTTCTTTAGCTCTGTAGGCACTTTGTGTGCCATAGGTGAGGAAAAGCAACAATTGATTTAATCGTGGATACTTTAAGTAATAAAGGAAAATTACCTTTTAATTTCTCTCACCATTTCCAACTCAGCACAGTTTAATTAGCCTCTATAATTTTACCTACATTGTCACCAAAGGAAATCAGAGCACAAGTTGTAGTATTGAAAAGACAAGAGCAGGAAGCACAGGTTAATGGCTAATATTTCCCCATTTCTGCACCTAGTGTTTTAATCCTTCTTGCCCAGGAATTTGCCAGGTGCAGACCGAGTCGATTTAACTTTGACAAGGTTGCTGTTTTATTCCTGCCTGCCTAACCAAATGCCTGGTTTTTAGGCATGGGGTAGATATATACTGATTGAAAAATTGACCCACCTCCATTGAAGATTCCCATTGTGATTTCTGGTTTGTCCCCCTGAGTCTTGGGGTAAATTTATCACAAAGCTGAGATTCACTTTTCCAAATTCCCCAAGTCATCTGATTTCTTCTATAAAGCTGCCTCACGTGGCCTTTGGGATGGCGCCTTGTCTTACACAGACAAATGTATACTGAACTTGAGTCTTCTCTGGATGGCTCCACTGTGAAGTCTTTCTAAAGTTGCTATTTGGAGGGCTTACTTTGGGCCTCAAATATACTTACAACCCAACCAAGACCTCAGAGGATATGCTCATGATGTCTGCTGCCTCTGCATCTGACTCTGAGAGGCCCCCAGCTTTACTGAACCTCAGTTTCCCCAAGGGGAACATTTCAGTGGAGTATATGTTATGTGAGATTCAAAGATGAACAAAGTCAACAGCAACAAAATTAAACAATGCAATTTTAAACATAGTAAAAACACTTGAGTAGATATCTCCAAAAAAGACAAGCAAAAGGGCAATGGGCAAGTGAAAAGGTGCTCAGCATAGCTACATCAGGAAAATGCAAACCAAAATCACAGTGAAATAACACCTCCCATCGTTAGGAGGGCTACAATAAAAAAACCCAGACAATAAAATGTATTGACAAGAACGTGGAGAAATTAGATCCTTTATACACCACTGGGAATATACGATGGTATAGCCACTATAGAAAATGGTACTGTGCTTCTTCAAAAAATTACAACTGGAATTATTATATGACCCAGCAGTTGTGCTTTTGAGTAATATATGATCCCAAATTCAAAACAGGATCTCAAAGAGTTATCTGAGCATCCATGTGCATAGCAGCATTACTCCCAATAAACAAAGGATGAAGACAACCCAAGTGTCCATTAAGAGAAGAATCAAGGAACAAAATGTGGTGTGTTCATACAACGTAACATCATTCAGCCTTAAAAAGAAAGGAAATTCTTCTGCCATACTGCGATATGAATGATCCCTGAAGACACTGTACTCAGTGAAGTAAGCCTGTCCTTAAAGGAAAACTGTTACATGATTCCCCTCATGAGATGTCGAGAACAATCAAATTCATAGAGGCAGGAGAGGGTTTCCAAGAGCTGGGCCAGGGGGCGAGTTAACATTAATTTATGTGTATTTCAAAATGGTCAAAAGAAAGGATTTTGAATGTTCTCAGTACAAAGAAATTATAAATGTTTGAGATGATAGATATGTTAAGAAGTTATGAATATGTTAAAAGTAGCTCTAAGAATAATTGTCTGCTTTTTGAATGTGCAGGTTTAGTTCTTAATTTTAATTTGGTTTTATTATTTTGAAGGGTGCAATAACTTAGAGTGCTTACACACATAATTTTTTAAAAAAAGCTCAGTGAGGAAGCTCATGCCTATAATCCTAGCTCTCTGGGAGGCTGAGGCAGGAGGACTGCAAGTTTGAGTGCACCCTAGGCAACTTAGGAACTCAGCAAGACCCTGTCTCAAAATAAAAAATAAAAAAAACTCCAAAGGGCTGGGGAGCTCAGTGTAAAGGCCCTGGGTTGAATTGCCAGTACTGCTAAATAAATAAATAAATAAATAAATAAATGAATAAATAAATAAATCCGAGGAAACTCAGTATACCCTTGCATTCATTTTCCGCATTCTCATAGGTAATGATTTTTAATTTTCTTCATTGATTTCTAACAATTATGTCTGTATTTCTAAATACAAGGTGAGACTGAGATGTACGGTGAGTATTTAAAATTTAAAAGTCTATTACCATAAAGGACACATTGCCATGCATCCCCCTCCAAATACTCCCTGTCACTTCAGACACACTTATCCCATCGTTCTTGCCATTTTCTGCAGCAGTTCTGGAATCCTCTTTCCTGAGTGTCTACACTGTCGTGGCTCCTTCAATGTCCTGAATCATTTAAAAACATTTATCTTTCTTGGTCATTTTGACTTTAGGAAAGAACCAGAAGTCACATGGTGGCACCAGGCCAAGTGGGTGAGGACACACTGCGAGGTTTTTACAAGTCTACCTTTGCACTGGATGGCACCCAGCAGCAGCATTCACCAAATTTTTTATCACACTTCATAAAGAGACTAACCCTAGAGGACTTGGAGAACTGCTTTAGAAAGTGGCAAGAATGATAAGGTAAAGTGTGTTCAAAGGGAGAGGAAGGGTCTTGCGGCAGGCTAAGGGCAATGTGCCTTTTACGATAATAAACTCTTAAAATTTAAACTGTCATTATGTATTTTGATCACAGCTGATATGTTTATAATTTTGTGAGTTTTGGTCACTAGAAATGGTCTTTTTATGAGAAAAATGATTCATCTCACTCTTGCAACCAACCCTTCCTGCATCATCCCGTA